AAAAAAAAAAAAAAAAATCTCTTATTATCCATTAGGCCTCTCAAAACAAAGCCAACAAAAATTTAAATATGTAAGAATAAAAGCCAAAAACCCCAAAAGCATCTAGCAAAACAACACTTTCAAAAAGATGTCTTGAATACTCAGGTCAAATTTAACCACACGTTTTTAAGTGTGCTGCTACACTCACCGAAGCCAAGCATGGCACCTTATCAAGGTTAAAGAACTCATTAAAGTCAAATTCTCCTGGGGACTGCTCAGGCAAGATGGCATCCCTTGGCACTTCCTGATCAGCTGCGGGCTCCTGTGCAAGGATGACCTCCACTTCATCTTCTTCGGCCACTCCTCCATTGCACTCTACTATACCTGAAAGCAAAACCAGGATAAAAACCATCTGATAAGTAAACTCCAGTGTCCCTCTGTGGTTTCACCCATCAATATACATGTAGAAGAGCCACAGATGACTTTAAAAGCAGACTTCTTGTGCAGGTACTGCAGTTGCAAGAATAAAACAGTCTCCCTTCTATGGGAGGCAGAAGAGGAAAAAAGCCTTAATAAAGCCAGAACACCAACAGGATAGGGGGAGGATTATGGTTCCCTTCCTCAGAACTTCGTATTTTCTATAGTGGAGGGTTTTTTGGTTTTTTTTTTGAGATGGGGTCTTGCTCTGTTGCACAGGCTAGAGAGTAGTGGCACGATCACAGCTCACTGTAGCCTCTACCTCCTGGGCTCAGGTGATCCCCCTGCCTTAGCCTCCAGAGTAGCTGGGACCACAGGTGCACACCACCATCTCTGGCTAATTTTTTAATTCTTTGTAGAGACTGAGTCTCGCTAAACTGCACAGCCTGGACTTGAACCCCTGACCTCAAGTGATCCTCCTGCCTTGGCCTCCCAAAGTGCTAGGATTATAGTAGTGAGCCACTGTGTCCAGCACCATACCCAGTTCTTTTTCTAGTGATTTTTTTTTTTTTTTTTTTAAAGGATAGTCTTTGCAAGTCTCTTATTGCTTGAAAATGGAACCAAATTAATTTAGCTCTGCTTTTGCCCATGCACCTGTAGCACCACTACAGTCAGGACTCAGCAACCTAAAGTATTTATGAGAAACCTGGCATAAGGGTAATTTTCACTTGCCTACAGTTGGTTGTTATAGCTCATCCTTCAAGGCGAAATTCAAATGTGACCTTCTCCGGGAAGCCTGCCCTGCCTACCCAGTTTTGCCCTACCCAGTAAAATTAATTGCCACCTTCTCTATAATCCTTGTGTCATCTGAGTACTTATCACACTGTATAACAGTAACTCTCTGTGAGGCTAAACTCTCTGAGGGTAGGTAACCTGGTCTAACCAGCTTTGTCTTACTCTATAGTGCCAAGTATACTCTATAATGTTCAGTTGATTTTAGGATGGGGAGATAAAGTGAAACTGCCAGATGCTAACATTTAAGGCATCTGACATCTTAGTTTTTAATGTTTTTATTTGTTTTAATTTATTTTAAATACATAGCAAGGGCAACCTAGAGACATTCTGTAGTTATCTAATGGGATGAACCAAGACCCCTGGATTCTACTCCAGGCTCTGCCATGAAATCCATCCCTTCTCTCTGGGTCTCAATCTCTCTCTGCATCTGTAAAATAAGGAGGTGCCACTCAATCTATCTCACTCCTGGCTCCTGCACTTGATACAAGAATGGTTGAAATTCAGATTTCACCTCACTTAAGAAAAACAATTTTTTCTCACCAGAAGCCTGATCTTTATCGTTAAAGAGGTGCTTTATTGGGTGCTGCTTTAATTAAGAATGAGACAAAGACATATCTCAAAGTCAACTTAATAGCAAAGTCTTCCAAATTAACTATCAATTTCTTACATTATCCTAGGGAAGAATGTGTGATAGCACAAAAATAATGGTAATATGCACTACATTTTCAAGACTACAAAAGAAGATGAGTATTGTGATTCTCCATTTCTTTCTCCTTCTAAATAAATGCCATCAGCTTATTTCTGCTTATATTTGTCTTCATCAAAATGTTAGGTGGCATTGACTTTTCCCTTATTTATTAAAATAGCTTTCCCAGGCCAGGCGCAGTGGCTCACGCCTGTAATCCCAGCACTTTGGGAGGCTGAGACAGGCGGATCATGAGGTCAGGAGATCAAGACCATCCTGGCTAACACGGTGAAACCCCATCTCTACTAAAAATACAAAAAATTAGCTGG